AATCGGCGCCAGGTTTTTCACCCGTATGCCTGCTGGCTGCCGTGTTGAGGTTGTGGGTCGTCTACGTATGTGTGGATGCCGATGGACAACCCACCCAGCTCCATCGCTCCAGCAGCACCAAACTCAACGAGGTTTGTTTGAATCGAAAGCATTTTTCATCTCTGAAACGTTGATTTTTCAGATCAAATCGACGACGGACACCCAGCCACGAACCACAAACCATGGTTCACGACTCACTTAAACCGAGCTTCATCACTGGACGGCAGCAGCAAGGTTTGTTTGAATCAAAAGAATTTCCAGTCCTAACATTTTGATTTTTCAGATAAACTAATCGACGACGGACGGATAGCCAATCAACGGCCACGACCACCCAATGGTCAGCAACCAACGGACAATCAACCATATCGGACCACGAACCCACAATTGGGCCACGAACAAAACGGACCATGGACAATCGACGACGGACAACTTTAACTGGCGAACAACGGATAGCGGACCACAAACTACAAGCAACAACGTGAAACGAAAAATGGCAAGGAAATGGACAATCGACGACGGACGAGGGAGATATCATTAATTCTCAAAACCCACAAACCCAAACCAACTACCAACTCCAAACTTCACTCCAAGAAGTCTCCAAGACTCCAAGAAGTTTCATCAACTACCCAATCAGCTTCACACAGCGAAGGTAAGATTTTTAAAAATCCTAAAAAATTGCCCTTAAGATGTCCCATTTCCCAATCCCCCCTCTCTTGAATTTCTTCGATTTTCCCTGATGATTGCTATCAGCATCACCCATTTCTTCTATTTTCAATCTACCCTGAGGTTTCGGAATTCTCGCTCCAGAAAGTTGGAGGTGCAAGTTTTCGTCTCGATGGGAAAACAATGATTTTGGAATTTTGGATTTGCCGAATCTTGAGTTTTGGTTCCAGAGATTCTGAAATTTTGAAAAATCGAGATCTTCAAGACTAAAACACCCCACACATTCCTGTTCCATCCCTTTTTCTGAGTTTTCGATTCCTTATCCCCCATTATTCCTTCTTTTTTTTAAATTATCACACTTTTCCAGTTTTAATGTTCCTCCCACGTTTTGTGATAATTCCCGTTCTCATTGCCTTTTCAGGAACTATATTCTCCATTTTCAGTTGCCAATCCAATGGAAAGAATATGGACTGACCAGAGAAAGTTGATTTAGAGACGGGACCACTGACGATAAGAGATGTCGACTTTTGGAGAAAAAAGGAAAAGGAGCAGCTTCAGAATTCCTATTGTTATCATCCAAAATAGGTATAATTTTATGTTCAATTCAGTTTGATTATTATTTTTATTGCAGTTCAACTGTTACCGGGACGACAAATGGAGGAACGATGGATGGCTCAAAAAACCGAAAGATGATGATGCATTCGACGTTGGTCCGTCATGGAGCCGCCATTGAGCAACTTCTACTAGGACAAGGTAATTTTAATTCTTTAATATTTTTTATTCTTACTCTCATTTCACTGCCCGCAGCTGCTCGCTTTTCTTCTCACTTGTTTGAAATTTTTTTAAAAACTTGTCTTCAAAATTCATATTCACTTCTAATTTTCAGAGACCTCGGCAGAACTATCTGAAATTCTCATTGACAACTGGGCAGATGCTGTAATTGCTCAGCCGTCGAGTTTCTTGATCAGAGCGATTGTTTGGGTATGCTGTGGACTGTCAGCCAAACCGAAAACCGGAGAAGAGAAAAAGAGGATTTACAAAGGAAACGAGATGAAGACACGTTTAAAGAAAGTATACGACAATTTTGCACTTCTGGCATTTGACGAAAATCTAAATCAAAGTGCATTGAATTCGCCAAACTTTATAACATTGTTCCAAGATTTCATCGAAGCTGATGGTATGTGGAATGACAAACGAGGAGATGAATACGTGAAGAAGAAGCTTGAAAAGGACGACATCGAGGGAATTTCAAATGCTTGGTATTCTCCGAATGGTTCCCGAATTTGGGAGAAACTGATGGAAACGTGCTCGGAAGATTCTCGCAGTTTGTTGTGGCTCGAGTTTTGCAGTAAAAATGTTTCTGAATTGACGGATAACAAGTTTTCCAACTTTCCACTTCAAAAAATCATCAACAGCTCAACTTCTTTGGAAATGGTCACTGAAATTGTTGAATCAATGTCCACAAAGTTGTCATATTTGATCGATCATCAACATTCTGGTGTTTTTCTCGCATTCATTCGATGCGCTGGTAGACATCCATCTTCTGAAAAGTCAATTCTTCAGCAGTTGCGAAAGCACTTCCGGTCTGCTTCCGAAGCAAAGAAAGGACAATTCCTATTGAATGTTCTAACGCTCAATAAGTACGATGGATCGCACTTCGATGCTCAAATGTTCACACCGAAGGTAATTCTTGAATTTCAAAAGTTTTCGAGTAAAATGCTTTATTCCAGGGTACTATGCTGTTTCCGAACTCGTCAACTACTCGAAAACTAAAACATTGTGTGCTGGCTTCGAGCAACTCACTGAGCGACAGATACAAGAAATGTGCTGTAACAAGAATACGTCACGTTTGATCCAAGCCGTTCTGAACAGCAAAACTATGTCAGAAGAAGTGAAGGAAAAGATTATCGGTGCATTTGATGTAGGGTTTTGTGCGTTTTGAATTTCAGATTTAAAAACTTTCAAGTTTACAGCAAAACTCTTGGGAAACACTCATCACTGACACGTATGGAAGTCGAGTTTTCGAGAAAATTTGGAGTTTCGTAGATGTAAAACGAAAACAAGAAATTATGAAAGTTCTTGTTGAAATTCATGTAAGTAAATGACTCTAAAAGTTGTTGTGAGATATCTCGAATTCCAGAATACCTCGAAATTCTGGAAGTTCGCAATGCTACGCTGTGATCTGTATTTGTTCCGCAAGAGCCGAAAAGAATGGGTCGAGAAAATGAAGAAGGCCAACTCCTGATGAGCAAAATTGCAATTTTTGTTTCTTTTTCCACTTTTTTGTTGTTTTGGTTGTTCGTTAATTATCTGTTATATTGTTGTTAATTACACATGGCCTGTACTCTTAGAAATCGTTATGATTATCCTTTCAGATTATTCCTTGGG